AACTGTAGAAATAAAAAAGCTTTTCAATATTTTTGGATCAGAGCCCCAGTTAACCCCAACCAGAGATTTCAAAATATTTAAACGCAATTCTGCTTTTTTACATGAATATGTAATGTGGGGACCCCAAGATAATTCTGAATCAAGTATGATACCTAAATACTTCTCAGACGTTTTGTAAGGTATAAGAGTATTATTATAATATATACGAGGACTGACAGGGCAACTATAGGCAAAGAGCATAACTGAACTTTTGTTTACGTTTACTTCTAGTTCTAATTGATTATTTAACAAGTTACTAAGATAGGTAAGACAATTGTTCATAATTCGTTCACCCTTACACAGATCTTCACAGTCTAAGTATATAACAACGTCGTCAGCATAGAAAGTATATTTAACTAAATTCGGTATGAGTTTCATAAAATTTACAAGACTTAAAATAAAAAGTAGTGGTGAAATAACTGATCCTTGGGGGGTACCTTTAAAAGACTTACACGGACCGTATAAATTATCCCTAATTTTTAATGTAACGGAGCGACCATTTAAAAACTGAAAAATCCAAAATAAAACTGGACCAGGAATACCTAATGAACTTAAAGTTTGAATCAAGTACTCGTGTTTAATATTATCGAATGCGCCTTTTATGTCTAGAAAAACGGCGATAGTTATTTTATTTTTTCTAAGATTACTTTGTATGTCGCCTAATAAACAACCTAAATTGTACATCGTGCTCTTTCCCTTGCGAAAACCAAACTGGTAATCAGGTATAAGAGAGTTATGTTCGATAAACCATTCTAATCTATTTTTTAACATTGTCTCAAATAACTTTGCTAAGCACGAAGTCAAAGAGATGGGTCTATACGCATCTGAGCTATTGCCATCCTTATTAGGTTTTAAAATAGGTATTACAATCTGAGTCTTCCAGATAGGAGGTATAATATTATTTTTCCATAGTTGATTGTATATATTTAAAAGAAGACTTTTTGCGTTTTCAGAAAGATTTTTAATGACAGAATATGGAATATAATCAGGGCCTGGTGAAGTATTCTTTTTATTATTTAAGGCAGCTTCAAATTCAAACATATGAAAGGGATTTTGGATCCATTTCGCTGACTCACTTCCCTTGGATGTGAAGTACGAATCTAAATTATAGGAATTTATATCAGAAGAATTCGAAGGAGTTATATTATTTAAATAAGCCCATGCGTTGGACTGATTATCAAAATAATGTGACCTAGAAATATTTCCTAATTTAGCAAATTTAAATCTTCTAATTTGATCCCAAATTATTTTAACAGGTGTAGTTCTGTTAAAGGAATTACAAAAATTGGCCCAACTTGAAAGCTTTTGTTCAGCTAATATTCTTTTCTTTTTAGCATCGAATTGCTTATATAAAATATAATTTTCTAAAGTAGGATATTTTTTAAATGAGTTTAGAGCGAGTTTAGCTCTTTTAACTGCTAGAGAACAAATATCATTCCACCAAATAGTAGGCTTGCGTTTTCTGTTATGGCAACTGAATTTTTGTTTTTTAGGAAATGTCATTAAAATATTACATAAATTTTCAATAAATGAAGTATAGTTTGTTAAAGGATCCGATTCTAAAGTAAAACAGGAAAAAGCATCATCACATAGCTGGGAAAATTTTAACCAATCTATTTTTAGAAAGTTAACATCAGCCAAGTAAGAAGAACTATCTGAAATATTCTGAGAATTTACGTTCTTTGCAGATGATGAAAAACTGATATGGTCGTGATACAGAAAGCTAATTAAAACGGGAAAATGATTACTGCTTATCAAATCGTCGTAAACAGAGAATGTACAACTTGAACTTACCGCAGGTGATGCAAAAACCAAGTCCAAAACGTTGCCGTTCTGATTATACGATGCAAAAGTTGTGACTGTGTGATCATTTAGGCAAATAAGATTATGGTCGTCAGCAAAAGAATTAATTATATTGCCCCTTCTGTCGTTATACCTAGAGCCCCAGGATGAATGATGAGCATTGAAGTCACCAATCAATAAATTGTTTCTGTTTTTAATATATTTATATGAATTTGAAAGCATTTCTAAATCAAATTTACCCTTAGGTGGAGGAGGTACATACACACATAGTATATCAACACAAGTGTAGCCAGTCTTGACTGAAATTAATAAATTTTGAAAGTGATAATTTGATGGTGTATTAATTACTTTATGAACATGCTTGTCTTTGATAGCAACTGCTATGCCACCATGAGGATGATCAGAATCACGTCGAATAATTTTGTAACCAGGCAACTTAAATAGCTTTGAAGTATCAAGCCAAGTTTCATTTAGAAGAATTAAATCGAATTTGGAAGAATAATTATTGAGAAAATATTTAAATTGGTCTAATTTAGATAAAATGCTGCGACAATTCCAATGACAAATGTGAAATTCATTAATACCAACCTCACTGTCCATAAAATTAGGAATTAAAATTGGAAATAAGAGTTTCTTTTATGAGTTTTGATGAGATAGTGTTACCTGAATGAGCATCTTTCTTATTTACAGCAATGTCTACAAGTGTTTTTGTTAATACATTTAGCACATCATCTGAGTTAAGAATATCTGTAAATAACAATCTTTTCTGTGGTGCATTAAGTAGCTTCAAGTGATGTTTTGGTGTAGAAGTATCAGATCTTGGGATATCTGAAGTTACTGTCTGAACTTTAGAGGTGACTGTAGCATAAGTTTGTTTGCCACTAATTCGATCTTTCAGTTCTTGATTTTTGGCTGATTTAATAGGGCAAGTGTTGCTGATAGCCATGTGAGTACCATTGCAATTGATGCATTTAAGTTTGTCTTTATTGGTGCATTCTTTAAAGAAGTGATTCCCAGAACATATAGAGCATACTTGAGAGCTTCTGCAGGATCCACGGCTGTGTCCAAATTTGTAACAGACAAAACACTGGCGCACAGGTTTGATATATTCCTTTACATCAAACCACATAAAATCATAAGTCACATGATCAGGACGAGTTGAGCTCAGAAATGTAACAAGCACTGTTGGTGTAGGGGAGAATGATCCATCCTGATTCTTCCTCATGAAGCGTTTCACACCTATTACTTCATAATTCGATTTTATATTTGTTAATAAATCTTCCTCTTTAATTTCTTGTGGTACTTTTATTATTCCTAGACTTTCCAGACGATCATAGGGAATTTTTGCTTGCCAATCATGTTTTTCTAATAAAGATTTATCTAAAAGAAATGCATTTGCATCTTTTTTTGTGGAAAAATAAGCTTTGAAAAGGAAATTGCCAATGCGTTTTACATACATCAGACCAGTACAAGATTTTAATATGTTATTTATCTTCATTAAATCAAGTTTTGTGTTGGGAGAGGATGAAGATATTAATAATGGATATTCTTTTTTGCAATCTTCTGTGTACATATGGACATAGTCTTTGAAAACGCCTCTTTTATTTGTGATAAAATTTGCCGCCATCTTAATCGGTGGTGGACAGTCTTCTCCGCCTACTAATTTTCTTTTGGATGCAGGCCTGCCGCCACTCTCTTCGTTCATTATTATGAAATCGTATATTAATCAGTTTACATATACGTAAAGATAGGAATAAAAATTTATTCAGCTAAAAAGGGCTTGTGAAGGAATAGTTTTAAATTTTATTTCAAATATCCCGCCTAACACTTTGAATGTTCGCGCCCTTTTTCACCATATCTTTACCTACTCTTTGTTGTAATGACAGTTTCTGTCAGTTGTAGGGATGATCGATATTCTACGATGTTTAATAAACATCGATGTTTAGCTAGAAAATATCGATGCTTTGTCATCGATGTTTTAAGTTCGATAACATCGGCACATCGATGTTTATGAATAAAATATCAATATATCCTTAGGGTCATCTTACGTGCTCTAGATGTACTAGCTAGATGATCTCATATATCAACTTCAACTGTTTCCATTAAATATCATCGGTTGCACTTCTAACTGGAGTAACCAAACAAATAGCTTTTTCTTTGCTTGCATTTTCCAAAGAAGCTAAAAATAAATCTATCGACTTCAGCGGTCTTTTAATAGGGTACCTATTAAAATTTTATTAAACAATTCAAAATTTATAACAGCGTGTTTTCTGTGCCAAGGGCCATAATCAGACTCGCGCTATAAATATCGTTTTTTATAATCAACGATGTTGTCAATAAAAAAATCAATGTCTTAACATCGATGTTAACAAAAGCAATCATCAATGTTAACTCACGGCTTCACGCAACACCAATGTATTATTTAATATTTGATAATATTAATATTAATATCAATTTAAATTAATCGATATTACCAAAAGCATCGAAATTTTGATAAAAAGAAAACTGAATTTTTGTGTATGTAATACATACATATCTTGAAATACATATTTTTACATACATGTTTAAAAAAGTAGGCTATACTCTTTATAAAAAAAAAATTATTAAAAAGTTCTTCCTTATCAAAATTAGTTTTCCTTCAATCAATTTATCAATTTATTTTTGGAATATGTAATGATTTTTTTCTGACTAATAAATTCCGAAAGATTCACTGTATTTTATTTCTTTGTAAAATATTGCAAAAAATCATCGATGTTTACCAACATCGATGTTCAGTTTTCGATTATCGATGTTGGGCATACGATGATGACATCGATGTCAACATCGATGTTTTTCTAATATCGAACATCCCTAGTCAGCTGTCATGTCACCATCTACGGACTCTACCGATTCCATCCTATGAAATTCGCGACATTGGGCGGGTTTGTCTAAATTCGCTGACTAGTTTATAGTGATCTGTGGTCTAAATTTGTTTACAACTGTTTGGTTTGTGGTAGTGTCAAAAAAACTTGTAAGATTTTTGGATGAGTTGTTCTAGTTTGCTAAAAAATGTCTCGTAAAAATTAAACATTTTTATTTCTATTGTTTTAAAGAAGTGGCTCAGTGATCGTATATTTTTTTAAGTCTCTGAGGTCTCTGGCCTCCCAACATAAGCTAGAATGAGTGGTAAGGTGCTTGCAATTTTGTTGTGGAAGCACCTTATTGTCAGGAAAAGAAAGTATATTCGTACACCGATTGAGTTCTTGGCACCTATCCTCATTATCATACTAATATTCGTCTTTAGGCATGATATCAATCCAATACCAAGACATCAACATTATACAGAGCTTAATGATGTGGATGAAACCGTAAGTACAAAGAAATCATGAAATTAATAAATCACTTGAAAATATAGACCAGATTTTGTGTAACGCCCGTTTTCATATTATTAGATTCTTACGTATAAAAATATCCATATCTTGACCACTGTTTTTTTCTAAATCTGCAGTTTCTAATTAGATAAGCTTAATTATAAAGTAGCTATTCCAAACAATATAGTTAATGTGAAAGCAAAATAACTGTAGAATCTCAAAAATAATTATAAATAGGTAAATAAAAATGGACTTTCTTCATTAATCTATCTTAGTTTTATTTTTAATCACAATATTTAATCAGAACACATATTATCTTGTAGATATTAGCTCATATATGCCTGAGACAATTGAATTTTTTAAGTTTATAATGCATTCTCTTTTTACTAGCAACCTTTTACTTGGAAAGATGTTGGAAATCCATCTATAGTCCTATACACCCCAGAGACTCCTAAGACTCTGGAACTGATGAAATTGGTGAATGAAAAATTCAGTAGTAAGTTCAAAATTTTCTATCAAAAAATGTTGTATTACACCTAGTTGCTTAATGAATAATATTGCGGATTAAATTAAATGTAAGCATCTGTATCTACTATCAATTTGCTTCGATAATATTGAACATTTAACTAAACTGTACTTTGTTTTTATTAAATAGCAACAATGTTATGGAAAAGCAATTGCCATGAAATAACTGTTTAAATTACTTTTATCTCTTTTTTAGACAACAGCAGAAGACTAACAACGTTTCTGCCATTTGATGATCTATCTACTGTTTTCAACATCACAAAAAATTTGCAATATGATGAAGCTATTGTCATCTTCCAGGTAAGTCAGTTCCAAATATACATTTGTTTTGTTTGTCTACTTATGTATCTAATATCTTTTGAAAATGTACTATTTTATATGTTTATATATCAAAGCAACAGTAACAGAAGCAAACAATCACTGTTTATTATTGAAATTTTCTGTATGTTAATAATCCTAACGGCACCTCCCATTTTTAATTTATTACTTATTATAAAATGAGGTGGTTGACCATGTTTCACTTTTATAATGCACTTCTTTTTACCAACAATTCCTTGCCTCTAGTCTAGTCCAGAGACTATTAAATCAATAACAATTTTAACAGACTCTCTTCATAAAAAATAAGCAGGAACAAGCTTTTTTTGAATAGGGGAGGGCTTTTCGAATGAATTCTACATCAGGATTAATCTTTATGCCACTCCCTACCCAATGGCTAGCAGGCTACGAACTTAAGGTTGTTACTGCTGTTCCACACCTGAAGCAATATTTGGGGTTGATATTCACCATTTCTAGTAAATGTTTTTGCTAAAAAAATAAAAAATTCATTATAGTTTCTGACTGGAACGTTTAGTCTGCACTTTCTCATTGAACTAGTTTGATCTTTTAGTTTATTAGGTCTCGTTGTGAACCGGGGAAAAGATCTTTCAATTGATTTGCCTCTATTCTGCAATAAAAACAACTCTTACTCAACTCCGAGCACAACGTTGTTACACTATAGAGGTTCAATGGAATAAAACCTTTATGTGTAATACATATTTTGAAGTATATTTATTTTATTCTCCTCTATGCTGTGACAGCACTACCGAATATTGAGTCTGAGGCTGTTTTTTCGGGTTCTGTACCAAAAAAGTAAAAACGTCACCCTATTACTAAGACTCCTCTGTCCATCCTTTTGTCACCATCCATTTTCACAGACGATGTATTTCTATTGCCACTATAACAACAAATACAGAATAAAATAAATATTTAAGGCGGGCTCCCTTACAACAAACTTGTTAGTTTTTTTTTTTGTAATAGTTAATGGTACTTAACCCTTAACACTTGGTCGGTTTTTCATTGCATAATAGCACTGTTGTATTGTTTGATTTAGTTTAATTGTCTATATTTGAAATAAATACCATAGAAAACGTAACGTACACCTGAAAAAATAGATGGAAATAAAATTGTTATTTTAATATCCTCCGCGATTTGGTCATATCCCGTAAGGATTGGACTAAAGCTCTTGTTTTCATGATTTTTGAAATATATATTATTAGTTGGCTTTTAATATTATTGGTGACCTCTTATATATTCCTATCCTAAACTGTTACAACGACCATCCGTGGACCATTGCGAATCCATATACGACTCTAAATCCGGCGGATGAACAGCCTACTAATGCACATATCCTAAATTGCTATTAGTTATACTACGCACTTTATCTTCAAGAGTACTCTATTGTCAAATTATCTTGTTCCTCTTAATACGATATTTATATACAAACATCCCGGACATAATCCACTGTTAATTGAGTCTGATAATATTCTAAATTTTATGTTCGAGGACAAATATAATAGGCCCTCAGATGAGCTACTCTGTTTGTCTACGAACAAAAATTACAAAAATTTCCAATCGCTCTTAAAAAAATTTAAAAATCCTATGCTTCTATATTATCTGTGCATCAGAACCAGTGTCAGGGTCCTACCACCATTTCATTATTAATTATCGTAAAATGTGTTCCTTTAGAGTCGTATTAGGGTTTCGAAAATAGATGAATTTTCGTTTTCGGTGAAACAGAGTATGCCGTCAGGTTTCATGTTCGTTCGTGCGTGTTACTTTTTTGACAGAATCATAACAACTTGCATCATACAGTTGGACTATCCACTTAAAGTCCATTATTATTTGTGTGTGGCAAAATGTAATTATTTGACATTCTATTGAGACGCGATTATTACGTTAACGTTAACAGATTTGGCCTGCCGGTGATTTATTGTCATTGTTAACTTTGGTTTATGTCACCATGCTCCTGTAATTATAAATGATAGGTACGGTGACAGAAACAGTGACGTATCGTGCCTTGGTGGAGCCCCGTACAAAAAATTTTTGGGGGCCCTTAAAAAAGGTAAAGATTTCTCACAAAAGAAAGAAGAATGTTTGTATTAACATTTAACAGTATGTACATCGATTATTGTGGGATTCCCCCGTTGAAGTAACTTAAACGGAGAAATCCCGTAACCCGCGAAAAACGATGCACGGTATTTTCAACTATGAAACGCACGATTTACGCGGAAAAGAAACAGTTTTTTTTTTTCACTTTTGTCATTTCTGATATAAAAAGAATTTTGGGAAGTTTTTATTAGTATTTTTGCTTACGCACGTTGGGGGCCCCCGTGGCTCGAGGGCCCCGCATAATTGATACAGCAGATACGACGGTAACTACGCCCCTGGACAGAAACAAAAGTCAACAATGACAATGTATAGAAATCACTTAATTGTTAATTTGTGACGTATCCAAGTGCACGCACTATCGTAAGGATTCTATAAGATTGACGGTGTTAGAAAATCATTAGTGTCTTGTAGCCTTAATATGCATTTAATGTTATACATCTTTGTTTATAATAATTTGTCACTCTTCCAAATGTGTCCCCATATTAATTTTTAACCAACCTTAAAATCCAAAAGGAGGAAGTTAATGTTCGACGACGATGTGTTTTTTTAAGTATGTTCACCGATATTTCCGCCAATTGTTAACAGATTTTAAAAATTTTAATTCATCAACTTAATGGACCGAGGTGGTCCCATTTATATTTTATTGAAATAGAATAATATCAGTAGTTTCCTTTTCACCAGATATCACCTAAAAATTTAGATACTGTTTATTTCAGCTAAAAAACAAAAGATTGCGTATTTTTTGGATTCATTCAAAATCCGAAAGGAGGATTTTTCTATGTTCAGTAGATCTGTTCCTTGACTTCTTGAATTGTGAACTAATTTCTTTCAAACTAGCTGTTTCCCCGAGGCTTCGCCTGCGTAAATACAGCGTATATCCAACGCGCATTATGAAGCTTCCCATAGATGAAAAACTTTTATAAATAGTTTCGGAGCCTATTAAATGCAAACAAACAAGCAATAGAATCTTTCTTCTTTATAATATGAGTATATAATATAATTATTAGAAAAAAATATGTCGAACAAATGAACAAAACTTCCTTTTCTAAGACTTACTGTGTTGAATATTTTTATTTAATATTTGTAGTGTTACCTATTATATAAAAAATATAAATATCACTAAAAATAGACTTCAAACTTTAAAAAACTATTAATATCAAGAGCCAGTTATTCAAGAAAATGCTATTAAAGTCGGGCGCCCATCATTTAATTAATAACCTACAGAAAACCTCGGCCTGAATTCATTTTCTTGAATAAGTCGCTTTTGAGATAAGTATTATTTATTACTTCCTTAAAGTTTGAAGTCAGTTCTATATTTTTTTAAGTTTTAATCTACTGTAGTAAACTCATCAAAAACAAATATGATATAGTCAAGATCAATATTAAGTATATGGCTCGTGGAATTTCGCGACATAAAATTGAGATCTGTATGGGTGCTTAGTTTCTTGCAGAAAATTTATTCACACATGATGCATTTTTTTTTTCATTAAGATTTCTAGAACTATCGATCCACATCAACATTAAGTGTGTTTCATTTAGTACAATAACAGATATAGTAGCTTCATATAGCAGTCTGTGGTATTATATTACAGTTATTATTACGGTCTTTGTTGAGTTGGTGTTGTCATTATAGCTCAGTGTGTCCTTCGCCATTTCACGGTCCGTTGGTTGCCCCAAAACTAAAATCAATGTTGTTTGATTATTTAGTGGGGTAAAGAATAATTAAAACCAAAAGTCGAACCAAGTACTTTGAGATATATTTGATTTAACAGATTGACCAAAATATGCTGCTCACCAAAATATTGACCTTTGAGTCACCATCCTTACTATCCTCCATAAATTTCAACATTTCCTACAGGACGCGTAATCCGAAAACATTTTCATTGCAAGTTTTCCGCAACAATATATCCTTTTACAATCCAATCGTCCGTATGTGCCGCCTTTACAATGAGATAACTCAAACTAATAATGACATAAATATATTCGATGTTACCTACATAAAAAATCGATATATCACTAAAAATCATGAAATATAAATAGTTTTTTTTTTCCAAAAATTAGAACCGTCTTTAATCTTTAATAAAGTAAGAAATCATACTTATCTTAAAAACGGTCTTTTTATTACCTACCTACAGAAAACGTCCTCCTAAATAAGTGTTTTATAAATCGGCATTCAAAAACTTCTTCATTGACATTCGAGGATGTTTATAAACTCGCACATGGGATATGTTTACGCATTCTTTAAGCGGGGTAGTAATACGAACCGCGATGAATGTACCTACGATTGGTACTGAATGATATGTAGCAGATCATTTAGGGCATCATTTTGACAAATCTATCGGGGATTCAGTGACACGGTAAAGTCGACTTAGCTGTCGAAACTATTCGGTTTGGTAAAGCTTTAATGGGCAATCTGAGGCCACTTCAGATTGCCCATTAACGTTGCCCTATTGATTTTCGTCAATTGCGAAATCAAATAATCTTCACTTTTAACGTTATTTTACTAATCAAATCAAAAGTAGAGTAAAATACAATTAATTTAATATACATAAGTATAGTAAAATAAAATGGACAAAGAATAAGAAGTCTACAGCAGACATCTTCACTAGGTGCTGCTAGTTATAATAATTTAAACAATAAATAACAATAATATAAACGAATTGTCTTTACGATTTTATCTCTACTAATCACTAATAATATTATAAAGCTGAAGAGTTTGTTCGTTTGTTTGTTTGAACTCGCTAATCTCAGGAACTACAGGTTCGAATTGAAAAATTCTTTTTGTTTTGAATAGACCAGTTATCGAGAAAGGCTTTAGGCTATATAACATCACGCTGCAACTATTAGGAGCGAAGAAATAATGGAAAACGCGGACGAAGTCGATGGCGGCTACTAGTACGAAATAAAATCGTTGCCCGATATATCAAACAATATTACGAATCTTCTAAAAACAGAAACGTTTGAATTCATGTTGTAAAATTTTCGAATGTCATTAATGACTCGATTTCATTTTACCTACATTACTCTTTGATAAATAGTATTACATGTAAATTGCAGCGTTGCACTTAAAATTGCGTCGAAATTTGCCCCTTCCGGACAAGGTTTTAACGAAATGACCGTGGCTAATCTGAATGCAATCTCTCCCAGTGATTGGCAAATCCAATGACAAAGGCATTTTCTAATGTTCTTGTATTTGTTAAAGTCACAGTGTTGTTTTGAATTTGTCAGTAGACGGTATATAGTTATTAGATTGTTTCGTGGGTAATTAAAATACCCATATTTTATCCTCAACATAGATATCCGAATCGTCATCATCACTAGCCTATTGATGCCGCATAGGCCTTCCCTGTGGATGGGATCGAATTAAATCGAATACGGAGATTGGGCCTTGCTTGACCCAACACGGATTGGTGGGTGTTAATGACAATGGATGCAGCGTAGCGGTTTAACGTTCCGAAGCACGGAGGTGTTCGAGATAATAATTTTTCGGTCACTCATCCTATTACCGGCCATTTTGAAAGTTACTTAACTGAATGGTGAAATTTCACATAGAACCAGACTATTCGGAATTTATACCCAAATTCAAAAATATAACGTTTAATAGTTGGAAAGAGGATTATAATAATAAATCTAAAGACAAAGGTATATGGTTCAAAACAATTCAAAGTCAACCTTCTCGTGAAACTTGGTTTGATAATATTAAAATAAATAGAAATTACATTAAATTGATTTTAAGACTCCGTTCTGGACACTATCCATCGGCAAAGTTTAAATACTTAATGAAAATGGCTGACTCAGATAAATGTCACGCCTGCAATAAAATTGAAGATGTACAACATTTGCTGATGGAGTGTATTAGAAACAAAAATGAGAGGGAGTCATTTATGAAAGAATTTAAATTAAATGTTTTAGATATAGGATTAATACAAAGTATTTTATCAGAACCAAAGTCTATCATTGCACAAAAACTATGTAAATTACTCGTAAATTTAAGATAAGCTGTAGTAAATGCTGTAAAAAATTACCTAGTGAAATATTGTTATCAAATGAATTTAGATTTAAGTATGGTATGATGGGGTTGGCATGTTCTAAAGAATAAAAACACCTTAAAAATTAAAAGAATAAAAAAAAAATTATGGTGAAAGTCTTTCACAGTCTCTTCACAGTCTTTCACCATTCAGAATTCTAATGACACACATCATTTACATACTTATATCAAACTTAAGTATTTAATAAAAAAATTAAAAACGTAATTCATTTGTCATGTCATCTTATCTCCATAGATAATTAACGCCATCATTAATGATGTTCCGTTATGATATTTATGAATGATACGTCTCTACTTACTGGATGTCTTGGAAATGTGGCTGTATATCGTTTCGCAGAATACAAGTAACAGATATTTGATGCTCGTTGAATATGACGCTACTGTGTCACTATATTGTATAAAGATATACGTCTCTTTTATTATCTGTGTCAATTGGTTTTGTACAAAGAAATAACGTCCAAATAAACTAATTGTAAATTAGGAAACATTTCTAAGTTGTATAATAGTCAAAACGCGCACTTATAAAATTTTCTCAATAGAAAAAAACACAAAGTGACACTAAATACTTTTTTTTTGTATGAAATCTTATAATATTTTTTATCGAAACAGTATTAGAGCTTTTGTTTTTTATAATAAAACTAGCTTTCCGCCAGCGGTTTCGCCCGCGCAGTCTGTCTTATGTATACATGTAAAAATTCGTCTTGAATCCACTCTCTATATTGTAGAAACCGCATCAAAATTGTGTGGTTTCAAATATCTATATATAATTGTACCTCTATAGACATACATTTTCCATATTAGTTAATAAATGATATAATTACATGACATGTAATTAATTATGTAGTCGAAGTAAACAAAAGCGCGTAGCATACTTTGTTCTGACTCAATGGCAAATCAAATCTTTGTTAAAATTAATGTCTGCTATTATATTATTGTTTATGTTATCTAGAACGTCTCGGGAGATACATGGCCGGAAACTCTGAACTACACCATTCGTATGAAGAACGACTTTCTGACGGCAATCCACACATCACTCGACAACAATCCCAGTCCACACCGCAGCTTCGGTAAGCAAAGCAGTAGTATTATACTATTAAATTGGTTATTATCAAAATTTATTTATTTATTTAAGCTACCAACAAGTTCAAACGCACATGCAAATGTGTATAATAGTGTGTCCAATAATAGTCATAAGTTGTTATCAGATACGATTAATATAGGTATAAAGATTTTTTATCTGAAACAAAATGCACATTAACCTACTTCTTAGTTTAAACCACCAATATCTATAAATTAGTTACGCTACGCGATATAATTATAATAATTTTATTATATTCATTATCGTTCAACAAAGTATGTCTACTGCGTCTATTTGAATAAGAATGTTAGTAATTATCGGTACAGACAACTTAATGCATTAGTACTGATACCACATCGAAATAATGTGACAGATTATAACATATGTATGTAGTGCGCGTCATACATATACACAACAAATTATTTTTATTCTTACCAAGCAGTACTAATGATTAGTGCATTCATCAGATGGTCACCGTGGGACATATTTCAGGGGGACCTGCCCTGCGATTCTGTAAAACTTCAAACCCGATTTCGAATCCACTCGGGTGTCCGAATTCACTTCAAAAAGCGGCATCCGCTCAAACTTGAATTGGTAATAATATTTCGTGAAATAAGTGAAGTGAGTATCGAAATGATATAGGATTAAAATATCTATGATACGTTTAATCAATCAATTTTGTTTAGTATTTTTATACAAAAAATGGAATCAATATGATTTCTATACTAAATGACGAGAATTCGGACACATGAGTGAATTCAAATTCGGGTCTGGATTGTTACAGAATCGCAGGGCTGATCTCCATCTCGAATAACCGTAACATATAAATACCATAAATTGATCATAATAATATTACTAAAAACAAATGTAATTGATGAAAATCATATTAATAATTAAGAAACTAATAGCGCCCTGCCAACAAGAAATGTGAAACCTCTATTTTTAGAGTTATTTTTGTAGACTATTGTAATGTGCCCATATAGTCACATGCACAAGCCCATGTGGATTACTAAAGTATATTAAGTATATCAAGTTCCTACGTGCTTCTAAAGGCACGAACTTAACGCCGGTAGTCCCGGCTGCGTGTACCTCAATAGCACCCACCAATTGAGTTTATGGCCCGATTTCCATGTTTCCTTATCGATTACCTGTACCGCACAGAGGACAATTAATAGAGCGCGTACAACAAAAATCAGAAATTATCGACTGATTTTACACAAAAAAAAAGTTGTAATTAAAAGTGGGAAATTTACATCTATTTCTAAGGGTTCTGTTACAGACAAAACCTGAATTTATAAAAATTTTGAAAGTATTATTTTCATAGGGAAAATTGATAAAACCGCGAGTCACTTTGTAATGATTATCATAGCATGGAATGAATTCATCAACAGCCCTTAATTCCCCACTGCAGGGGCTCAGGAAGGCCTTATGGATGGTTAAGGAGGATGACCCACACGCTGGCCCAATGCGGATTGGAGGGTATTAACTGCTAATGCAGCCGGGACCAACGGCTCAACGTGCCTTTCGAAGCACGGAGTAGCTCGAGATAATATTTTTTGGTCACCCACCCGACCCTTGCGAAAGTTGCTTAACTTAGCCGTGGCGCCGCTTCGCCACCGGGCTACTCTACTATATTAGTCCACGTTAACAGTTGCCATTTATTAATTAAATAAAAACATTTTATTGCGCTGTTTTTATATTTTATTGTTGAGCGCAATGATATATAGCGACTATAGCGACATTATTTTGGCTTGACGCACCTACTCTCATAATAGGTTAGTTATGACAATTAATGGGAACGTTGATATAATTAGCGCTGTTCCATTTCACATATAAAATCTAAGGCCGTCAATTAATCACGTGAGGCTCCAAGAGGGGAGGGGGCTCGTCAAAAATCACGAAATATCATAAGGGTGGAGGGGGGTTTTAGTAATATATCGTGTGTATTTATTTTTTCCTCAAACGCACGATTACTAAACCGAAAAGCGGCGTCAAAAATTAGGATTTTTGTAGGTACTAAAAAATACACGTGATTTGGATGGAAGGGGAGTTAGTCTTAAACCTTACCATGTATCACCAAGGGGGAGGGTGGTTCAAAAATGCTATAAAAAACATCACGTGACGGCCCCTAATAGAGAAATTATAATATTGGATATTAATATAAGTTTTTGAGTGTGCACAATTTTTTTCTGACGATAAAAATAATTAAGTAATTTCATATTTAAACCATTATTATCATTTTATTAAATTGAACCTAAATATACGATTGCACGGAAGCACATTTTTAGGATCTCAATCGAGGTGCGGGGGTGGAACGCAGCGTGTAAGCATAGTAATGCAGTATAGTGCGGGAAATCACCTTTTTGGTTCAATTTACGTGCCGCGCTAAACAATTGTTTTCTAACCTTTGGAACCTTTTTAATTACTGATCTAAATAGGTTCTAAACAGGTAGTTTGTCTATAATTTACAGTAGGTACACTTTTGTAGGGTCTTAGCGGGAACTGTAGACTTTTTTACTAGCTGATTCAATAACAGACACCGTTTATTGGTGCAGTAACAATCTAATATTTATATCAAGCACGTTCGATGAGAGAAGAAAAGTAGAAACGGAAACCACCGTTCTAAAATATTTATATGTAGCAGTGTTGCCAACTTTTTCTTCTATTTCGTACATTTTACAAATCAAAACCAGATTGTAGTGACTGTACGTAGCTAGTATACCGATAAGCATGGAACAAAATAATCTACCAACAAATGAATGTTTAATTATATTATATTTTTAATAGGTGAAATCTATGGGAAATTCATGGCGTTACAATGGGCGATCGACACCAGTTATTTGGAACTGCTCACTGGAAAGGAAGTAAAACTGGTTAGTTTATTGTTTTTTTTTAATATACTGTCACGGCTAGTGGTACACACCTACATCAATATACAAAATATAATATTGCCATAAGATGTGTAAAATAATTTAATTAATATATTTCTATTTATCTGGCTATATCCTATCTATCCGTATCCCTTGCGGTGTCGGCAGAGAAAACCGAGTGCCACAAGTCATGGTCCTTTCATTAAGTTTTCGCTTCCACCGCTTTTATTACTCTTTTTGTACATACTCATTCAGTACTATACTTGAAATTTATGATAATTTTTGAAACAATGAAAGTGCATAATATTCGTCCTTTTTTAAAGCAGGGAAATGTACCTTAAGCCTTAAATCAGGGCTCCCCAACCACGTTGTAATCTTTAGTTTGAGAAATTCAAATTCAATATCATTTATTCAGTCTAGACTGTTAGATGCACTTGAATGTTGAAAGCCATCTGTTCGCAATTATATGACGGGTGATCTTGTACATCTTGCACTGAGAATAACCGACAAGAAACTCCGCAATGGCTACAGTTTTACTTCACACAAAGAAACCTACCTGGTAACACCAGAAGCGGAGGACACTAACAAAAACAGAATTATGAGATTTGATATTGATACTCAACAACGTGAGCGGCAAGCAACTAAATATAGAATGGTTCATTTTTTATATGTTCCAGAAATCGAACACGTCCCAAATAGGTTTTTAAACCAGAGGACCAAGGAGAAGGGAATTATCTTGTTATTACTAGGTACTTACAATCAGTAGCGGCGTTAGGGTAGGGCGCGGCTGGGCGACCGCCCAGGGGCGCCGGACGAAAAGGGGCGCCTCAGGCCGCGGCGCCCCTTTTTCGACCGGCGCTTCTTTCTGATTCTGTATAATGAGGAAGTATTTTAAAAAAACGAAAGCACTATAAAAATACCTCCACCTACGACGATGACGACTCTAGCAAAAGTTGATTTTTTCAGGAAACGAATGGAACACAGACAGTCATTTCCGTTTATTTTAACTAACATATTAAAAAACTGAAATTTGAAAAGTTCGCAACTTAGATATCAATACAAATACGAAAAAGTACAAATAGAATATGAGTTGTTAATTGAGTTTTGAAAACTAATTTACTTTTAAACATGAAAGAAAACTGGAAGGTTTGTCATGGAGAAATCAAGAACATACCGTAGCGACATCCAGTTTGATTTCGGGAACTAATGTTTTTTTTTTTTCTAATACTTCCTCATTTCCCACAGACGCCCTCTTTTGGTTCCCTTGCTCATTGAACAAGGCCTACTGGGTCGGTGAAAAAAGAACCTTGAGGATTTTTTTTTATTTTCAAGTTGCCTCACTTTCAGCATGAATTGAAAGGAAACTTTACAAGAAAAATATTAGATTATGGTAAAACAGAACAACATACCGATTACCGATATGAAGAGATGTATTTTATTAGGTAATATGACGTACATTGGCAAGCATTATCGCTCGGTCATTTAAGAAAATTTTCATTTGAGCATGTTTAAACATGCTAAAATGCTGCAATACAAAACGACTGCATCGGAGCCTCTATCTGGCAAGTCAGATTGAATAGCTACTCAAGAGATTGTGGATGAAAAATCCCGAAGTAAGGGAGCAAGATGTGCTATGATTACAGATGCTGCTCAGGATAAATCTGTTATTGATGTACAACAAATACATGAACTAGATGATGTTGATACTGTTGTCCCGAATATAGCGGATCCAGCTACTTGTCCACTTATTCGAAATAGCAAAATAATTGATCATATAGTAAGTAGTGGCCCACTGCAAACTCACTGTCGCAAAGTTACAACAATTACACAAAGTTATAGATAACAATTATGTGACACCCTGTTAGGGTAAAAATGAATCTGTACTTACCTAATGATGTGATCCGACAAAAATGAATCTGCTACTTATACACTATTTATATGTCTACTTTTTAAATAAAACTAATGTCACTATCTAGTTGGAACAAGAGCATCGTAACGTAGCGTTAAACGTTTGATTACTATGTTTGTTTGTTTTAAAATAATCTAATAATTGTTTTAAGAGCGTCCACTTATGTCAAGCAAGAAGATAATGTCGGTTGTGTTCTTCTTCGTCAAAAATTAAAAGAGATAGATCTAGGGAATCCCCGATTATAGAAAAACACATCGTTTCTGTATGGTCGGAAAGTTGGGGATTCTCGAGAAATGAAACCTATTGAACACTACGTTCCATTCTAATGCTGCCAACTTAACAATCTGCCTAAACTTAGGGAAAATTACAAGTAAGTAGGCCGGGTCGGCGAAAAAAAGACAAGTAACTGATTTGTAGTATGTAGTAGTAACTGATTGTAATTGAATTGCAGTTAGAGAGCGCCGAAGAAATTTCGCCCAGGGCGCTAGTAGTACTAAAACCGGCACTGCTTACAATCAATAGCATGTCAGGTTATTCAAATCTGTCAAATTTCTTCACTAGATCTTATGTCTTAATACATCGCATATAGAGTTGAAAATCAATTGCGATAATTTAACTAACTATGGTAACCGGGCGTGCTGCTGTGTGCATACGCTATGCAAGTTGCTTACCAAAGATGTATTGTACCGATTGTTTATGAACACGAGCAAGTTAACGTTGACTAACGTTTGAATGAGGCTTGGATTCTTCGTTTTTTATGGAGCCCATACGCTGGCAAAATGACAATATTTAATACTACAGAGCTTAATGGCATTCGATGTATTAAATATTAAGTATTGAAATTATACAGTAACAAGGATGGTCACAGGACCATCCTTTTTACACTGACCTCGCGTCTAATACCCGTTATTATTAGTATGTAATAATGCAGCGCGATAGTTTCAAAATGGATTTACTGAATAACTTTTGCTATGGAAGCAACACTGAATTGTTATTATGGAGCTATTTCAATCTGTTGGCGATTCTAGGTATTACAATTTTGTATGAAACAGTTGATTATTTTTTCGTGAATTCAGTGTTGCTACCATAGTAAAAGTTGATGAGTATACTTAAGCTATCCACCCCTCGAAGTCCTGGCATATAATAATATTACACCTTATATAAATGATATTATTAGTCGACACACGCGGAATTAATTATTCATGTGTTCATTCACATTCTAGAATGTGACCCTTCAAGAGTTTCCTTACGTGAAGCATCGAGGCTCTTCGAACTCGTCAATGATAGCAGACTGGATGAGGACGGTCTGCTGGTTGTCAATGCTGCTACCGTTCATGTTCCTCATGACGAGGCTATTAGAGGAACGAGCGACGGGTATACAGGTATGAATGTATAGAATACTGTACAATTTTATCACTTGCGACTATAGTATGTTCGCCGAGCTTTCATAAATAAAAAAAGGAAAAGACAGGGTTTCTTAACTCATTTCAATTTTCGGCCCGCTAATTTAATCTTAATGATGAATAACAAAGAAAATAGTTTTACGTAGTTAATTATTTATTATACTGTAGAAGGTTTCCTTTTGTTTTCGTGACGGATAATAATAAAAACCACGCTCCGCCCAAAAATATTAAGATAATCATATTTAGCTAGCTTACATTTCATAGCCGATCAAAAAAGTTACAGATAAGTCGTGTTGGTTAAATTTAAGCGTTCGATTAGTGTTTTATTTATTTCTATTTGATATTTGAATAGGAGCTGATGAAGATGATGGGAGTGCAAACGGAGATGTTATCTTTGGCACACGTAATAAACGCGTTGGCTCCTGGTTTAGTGTTCGCGGCGGTGACGGCCATACTGCTCACCGTCGGCGACAATCCACTACTCGTATACGCCAGCGGATTCATAATATTTGTCACTCTAATGTTCTACTATTTCACCGTCATCTCTCTGGCGTTCGCTACCAGTTATCTCACTAAGAGCAGTGAGTATTAATTATTGGACTAACTTACCTACCTCCTAAGTTTATTTCCTATATAATACACCTTAGTCAAAACATGAGGCTTGGCTGTTTTCCTATCGTCACACAGTTGTAAGATTACTATACTATTGTACCTACTGTTTATTACTCCTCTGTTATAAGAACAGTAATATTTTTTGTTGACAGTCAAGTCACGTGTTTTGATTAAGGCAGGGTTTGTAAATTGTATATAGAGTATCTGAAAACTCTTTAACGATGGGAGCCATTTAGCATCTTGGCAAAATTTTACTTGAAAACGTTTTTGGTGGTTCGTCGTGAATAGAATAAGCCGTCAGTTACGAGTTATACAAGAACAAAACGGTAAATGAAACAATGTATATGTCCCGTTTAGCTCAGTACGCGGTGTCGCTGTCCGTGCTGGCGTACGTGGTGCTGTGGATCCCCGCGATGCAGGTGCCCCAGCACGAGGTCGCCCCCCCCTCGCTGGTGGCGCTGGCGGGGCTGCTGCCGCACATGCCGCTCACATGGCTCTGGACAGAGGTGGCCCAGCTGGAGAAATACGGTCAGACTGATTCGATTCATCTCTCTCATTTTTTATTAAGTGAATAATTAAAAATTGCTGTAACAATAAATTATGAAATATCTTGGAAATGGTAACTTATGTGTACAAAATACTAACTATTTAGTATTTTCGTTTTGAAATAAATTATATGTATATTAGACTTCACACAATACTCCATGACAGAGCATCGTGTGACGTCACATTTCAATACTTTACGTCAACGTCTCCATTGCGATGAGCCGGTTGGTACTCATATTTATTAAAATTTCTCCCGACTGATTGTTTTCGCACAACAATTTAAATAAATAAACAATTTGTTTTCCTGTTTTAATAAAACTTTTGTAACAAGTCTAATAGTGGCTTAATATAATCAAATGAAAATGTGAAGATACTTTTCACAAAAGAGTCAAGTAACAATTTTAGTAAGGTTAGCACTCACGGTCTGCGTTGCAGAAGTTACACAATTTTCGCTAGCGCCGGTTATAATATAGGTAACCAAAATTTTACTATATATCTCCTGCGTACTTGGGCAGTCACGTTACTTTGGCTCCCGGCCGCATCCGCTGTTGTTAATCCCGCATGGTGGGTTCCATCATCAAGCCCATTCGATTCGATTCCTTCCATAGGTAAGATCTGTGCCCCAGCAGCAACTACGACATTAAGAAGATGATGACGAAGTTATCTATTAAAAGTGTTGTAAAATCATAAAAGGCAGAGACAAAACATTTGTAAAATAAAGTAGTTAGATACCATGTACTTTGTTCGGCTCAGAATAATGACCTTTTGCTTTATAGGACAAGCTCTCTCTTTCGGCACAATGTTCACCTCCCATTCGACCCAATCTGGATCGGTGTTCGCGGCCATCGTTTTAATGTTATGCCAGACAATCTTCTTCTTTCTGCTCTCCTGGTACCTGGATCACGTATACCCTGGCCAATATGGTCAATCGCTGCCGTGGAACTTCATATGCCAGGTTAGTAAAATACATATAGCACCACCAAAATCAAACCGTCTCATTTGATAACATACATTTTAGCGTGCATTTTTTTATTCGCATTTCCTGTTGGTAATAACCAGTGGTCGGAATTAGGTAGAGTTATTCATGTACTTACACTGATTTCATACAGCGAAAGAATAAAGTGGATATGCCTCAAGGCCCGAGATTAATTTTTTTTCTGCTCTTTAAGCAGAAAAAAATCCCGTGATTTTTTAAATAAAAAGTTATTTACTTTTATACAATTTAAACTACTGCACGCACGACGTTGCCAAACTTACATCAATGAAAGAAATAAATAAAAAAAGAAGAAATAAAGAAATCCCGGAAAGGTCCACATTAATATCAACATTTCGATGCAAGTACATAAATAACTCTACCTAATTCCGACCTCTGGTAATAACGTATAATCTCAAAGAAGCTTTTCAATGTCATTTCGAAGAACTTATTTAGTGTTATGCAGCTGTTATTTAGTTTTAATTCAGATTTTTAGCTAATTGAGATAATAATGATCTTTAATAATTGACTACTATGATGAAAAATATTAATTTACAAAAGGCTGATCAATTGTATGTGATTGAAAAACAAATATATGTTTGTAATCAAACTGATGCAATTGACAGTTGAGTATCTCATGTCATGTATTACTTACATAACCAATATTACTGTATATCAAGGATTCCCAAACTTATTTCGTCTATTGCCCTCTTTGAGAATAAATTATTTATTGTTGCCTCAATTTTTTCACCTACTTAAAACCACTGAAAATTATTATGAGCTCTACTGGCGGAGATAAAATAATAATTCTAAACGAGACTTTTTCTATAACACACAAGAGTTAACTCGAGACCTGAGCGTATTAACCATTCCTTCCTCTACTTCCTCTACACAATACCCCCATTTATTTTCTGGGTCCCTTACTGTCCCCATTTAGGCATTAAGCGCCCATAAGAGGGTGTTATTGCCCACTTTGGGAAAAGCTCCTCTATATAATTGTCATTTTAAGTAACAAACAATGAATCAGTAGAGTAGGATTTCTAAAAGATAAGCCAATCGTCTAATATCTGGCCACCCCGTGACCAAAGTCCTTCGCTTATGTTCACTCGAAATAAAATCGTTTATTTATAGAAACAGTATTGGCGTAAAAACGACGTGACCCCCGACGAACTTCTAGAAGAATTGGAAGAGGTCGCGGAACAAGACCAACGTTACTTCGAACCCGAGCCCATCGGACAAGAAGTTGGAATTAAAATCATGAACGTCTCCAAGGTATACCTATTATATATATACTGTTGTACCTATTACATGTATATAACATTCAGATAACAACAATTTGCTACTTGCCTGTTTTAGGAAAAGTATTTTAAAACTTTCATATGATCATATTAAACCTCTATCAGATTACTTTTCTCCAAAAAGTGTTATTCAATGAAGGAACATGTTTTTATTCATTTATTCAAATTGTCCCACGAAAACAATCAATCACATGACATTTCGAGCCGTGACGTCATATTTTAATAAACAAGGGTACTGGTTGCAGTATGCACGTTTCACACGCAGCAAAAGAAGTTGACGTTTAGTTTAATAAAATGTCGGGGCAGCCGCCCGGATTGCGAAAGACGACCTTTCGAGTCGCCGAAGCTTTGAGATCCATCTCAGATTACCAAGGGGTTGGCGGATTTCTTGATGCATTTTTCATTAAGGATGTTCTCAAATATAGCATTGTGAATGCAAAATTGATAAAAAAAATTATAAATTTTATAAATAAAAAATATTTACTTTTAGTTTGAGTTAAGATTGAAAATATAAAAAAAAAACTTCATAGTTATTGTTTACTGAATGTTATCGACAGTTGCCAGTTTATTAAAAGGCTAGCAATGTTATTAAGTTTATTTTTATCACTGTTATCTTTAGATTTTTGTTGGTATATTCTTTTTATATGTTCAGGTATTCCCAAAACATCGTGCATTACACAATGTGTCTCTAGAGGTGCACAAAGGTGAGATCACTGTGTTACTGGGACACAACGGGGCTGGGAAGACCACGCTCATGAATATTATTACAGGTAAAAAAAATCACATTATTAATATTTAAAAACTAAAAATGTTATTAAATATGTTTTCTGAATCAGCTAGATACACGTAAATTTTATTTGTATATTATGACGCAATATAGTGTTTTCTCACCAGGCATGTTGAGTGCTACCCAAGGGAAGGTGTTTGTGAACGGCGCGGATGTGACGTCACAGCGGAGCACCGTCCGTCAACATCTGGGCCTCTGTCCGCAACACAACCTGTTCTTCCCCGACCTCACCGTGCTGGAACACGTCATGTTCTTTACACTGGTGAGTCAACACCTGGGCCTCTGTCCGCAACACAACCCGTTCTTCCCCTACCTCACTTTTAACTATAATCACGGGATATGTATTAATCTTAATAACTTGTCCGGGGATAAATAGTATATATCTCCGATTAGAAGAACACTTTGAGCGCTTGTGCACTACACTGAATTTTCAGGTCCGGCGATACGATTTTTTCCGGTCCGGAATGACATGAAAAACCCGGATGAGTAGCTTGTGCACTTGTCCGTTTTTTTCCTGATCGGAGCGGCGCAGTGTAGGGCAGCTCTCTTTGAAGCTACACGTCACTTATGCTAGGTACGATGATATTTTTGGAACGCCGGTAATTGCTTGCTTTGTTACTATACGTGCGAAGACGTAGAGAGGTACCTAAATAATGACCTGATCATTTTACATAAACCATAATAAATTGAGGCAAGACGAAAGCATTTTTTTGACAACTATCGGATGACTTCTATCAGATGTATAAACTTATACCCTTACTAATTTTAGGAACATCATTATTCACATACAATAGCTAAAGATGTCTGTGACGTTAAAATAAAATTACTGATAATGTTCTAGTACTTGATGTTTAAATTTATAAACGTGCTATTTATTTAGAATTTTTGTAAAAACAACTTTAAGCGATTACAGAGGTAAACCAATCGTTGGCACCATTTCGTAAACAAATCGAAATTAGTGCCGTGTATGCGGCGACTTAATATGCTAAATGAACTTTACTATGGCATTTAAATCAGCCATCCTATTATAAGTAATAAATGTCATGATTTAACTATAATCATTGCAAAATCAGTTGACTGTATTATATATATAATATATAGGTATAATTTTATACGCGGTGTATAGTTTCTTTGAGCAGAATTATTCTTCTTTTAGAATACGTCTTTTTAAAATTTATTTATGACACAAACAGTCATTTCAAATTTTATTACAATAAACACGAAAAAGACATCGGGTGTCACTGAATTGCTTCTGTTTATCTTCTGTTTATTCTTTATTACTACTTCTGTTATCAAATATTTAAATACTTATCAGTTGCCTAAAAACAAATTTTGATATTGACAAATTTCCATGCAAACTTTCATCCACTATTTCCACCTCTTTTTCTATTTCTAAGTCTATTTCTGTATCAAAGAACAATGGTCAAAATGGACTACGAAAAAAAAAGTTCTTGTACCAAAATGGAACTGTCACTAAAATGTAGTATAAGTTGAATGTAATTATTACGTACCAACAATTTATTTTTAAAAGCTAGGAAAAGAAAGATAATCTTCTCTAAAATATTTCTTTATTTTTTAGAACGCAGTTTATATTGTGTTATTTTTGAACGCATCGTATTAATAATGTCATTCCTAGAGAAGTCCCTCTCTTTTCAAAGAACAAGATCGATTTTATTTCTGACTAATCGAATTTGATACAAATCTTATATTATTTACTAACCATATCAATCCGTGAAAATTATAAAAATTAGATTACATTACTAATATAATTAGATGTTCCTTAGAGGAAAATAGTTTATTATAATGAAATAGTATAATGAAATTAAAAACAAATGATTATTCATAAGAATCGATATTATAGTATTCAATCCATTGCGACCTCCCTTTTTTAGACAAGTATGTGTAGACGTGTTTCTACGCAGACCGTTTTTTAACTTTGGCGGTGATTTTGTATTATCTTCTGTATTATGGGGAGCATACTAGGTTCCATGGGCAGTATAGAATTGAGTTCTCGAGAGAAATACCGGATTTTCTGGATTTATTAGAATTAGACTTAAATATAATTAAAGTCCTAATTATAAGAGGTAGAATTAAGTCGAGACATTGGGAGGAAACAACATTATGTGTACATCCGGGTAAGATGGCATAAGAGAGCACTGCTGTAATTGTCTTATTGGTCGATGTACACTGGGATGCTGTGCTCATATGATGACCATAGTTTGGTATCTTGGATGGGCCAGACACGAACAGAATGTAGCTGCTCCTGTAGCATTCCATGATGAGGTATTCATTAGAGTTGTATAAAGAAAAGAAAAATCAACATGTTGTTTTGCTATATCCTTTTGAAATTAGTATTTTCACTACTACTTTATACAAGTTATAGTGTAACATACAAAAGTAGAGTTATTGAGAGCAATCTTAAAATTTCTATTTTCTTTCTTTATGTTCATTGGTTCACAAAAAATGTTTTTATTTCTTACAGTCAATAAAAATAATTTATCAGATATGGAGCAAGTTTGAAGTATTATGTGAAAGTATGCACTTCTAGGACTACGATTAGGCATTATCTGACGTGTGCTTTACATATTTCAACTGTAATACCTCTAACTCAAAATGCTACAGTTTAATTAATACTGACATAACCTCAAAAACATATTACACAATTACTCGATACTCCCAGCTTTTAAAAATATATTTAATGTCTTTCTTTGTTCTAGTTGCATAGGCAAACAAAATAACATATGTTTCATCAAGTTACATTTTATTCGATTTTACTAGTCCAAGCATGTTAAGCAGATGGCCATTGTTCTTTCATTTAAGATGGGTTCAGTTGTTTAGGCGTGAAAGCGTACCAACACTTATTTGTCTTACCTTAAGTTATTGTTTTGGGATCGATACTTTTAATATGATTCTAGAATCTAGCAAAGCATCGATACTATAACCATACGATTATTAAATTAGAACTATATCGAGTTTGGCAACGCATATGTAGTGATTTTTACCAACTATATTTAATCTAATATAAAATATCGCATTTTATAATTTACAATAAATATCGATTTTTCATAAATCGATTATTTTTTCCCAAGCCTACTCCGCAGACTCATGAATTTTCCGGATCGAGGACACAGCAGTGCACAAGCGTAAACACGTTTTTCATTGCCGCCACGGACCTGAAAAAACCGGTCCGGAATAGAGAAAAGTAAAATTCCGGACGATAAAATTCCTGACAGTGCACAGGCTAGCATTACCTTCATACGGCCTGACATATCGGACCGCCGGACCTGAAAATTCAGTGTAGTGCACAAGCGCCCTTTCCTTATTAGCGAAATATTACTGTTTAGATTCCTGCCCGGTACACGTGTCTTTTTTTCGATTAATTTTCGAAAAAATCTAGGCACAATATATGAGAACTGAAAACAACAAAAAAATATTATTAATTCAGCTGAAAGGCGGTACGTTTGCGAAAACACGAATATCCTCCGAGAGTCTTCTCGACAAACTGGGCATTCTCGATAAGAAGAATAGCATGAGCTCCGAACTGTCCGGCGGTATGAAACGAAGACTTCAGTTGGCCTGTGCTTTAGCTGGTAGTGCTGACGTGCTCATATTGGACGAACCCACCTCAGGACTGGACGTAGAGACGAGGCGAGAGTTGTGGGATCTACTACTGGTGAGGGAAACTGCACTTTATTACTACGGTATAAGTTCTTTATGATGTTTACGTGGGGTATAAAACAAACTGTGAATTCTGACTATACTAAATATTTAATAAATTCATTGTTAGTTGCGTCCTTGAGAAAAAACACAAATGCTTTTTCTATTTTTTGTTTTGAGGTTGCGGAATCCTAACTTTTCAGTTCAGAATGTACAATACCCGAAATGTCAAGTTCCGGAAATTTCCAATTCCCAAATTTTCCATCATGATGGATTTGTTGTATACTCAGATAAATAATATATATCAAAGTTGTTTATGTTTAATATTTTAAAGATGGACTAATAGGAATTCAGCTAACTTAATTATAATAATAACGATCTAAATATAACACAGGCTCTGCGTGGCACTCGTACTGTGTTACTATCTACCCACTTCATGGAGGAAGCGGACGCGTTAGGCGACCGCGTGGCCGCGTTACATTCCGGCAGATTACGATGCTTCGCCACACCCCTGTATCTCAAGAAAGCCATAGGTGATCACTGATTATTTTGTTTTATTTTTTATATGTACCTATTCAATATGGATTTTGTTTTTATTGATGGATTTTACACCTATTTCCACTAACCTAGAATAAGGCTTAACTAAGAAACGCCTAATATTCCGAATCACTTAAGCAGATTATTGTAATTTCAAATAGATGTTTTTTTTTTCATTCGTCCCTTGACATATTTATGACCTGTCATATACGCAAATGCCTAGCGCAAGGCTTCCTAAATATTTAGGCGACATAATCTGTCATACGACTTTCCTACGCGAGTCTCTACGATGGGTCGCCGATCTCGCTTGCATTTGTATTAAGAGTCACAGTCATTGATATCAGCCTTCTACACGTCCGCTACTAGCGACTAAGTATCCCAACTGAAATTGTGACAACAGCATATGAGATTTTAATTACTGTAATGTACACCTCAAATGCTGATAATTTTTCATCTAAACTTCCGAATTTCTAGTCAATAAAATTAAAATTCAGGAAACAATGTAAATAGTGTAATCAAAACATCGTTTAGGTACCGGGTACCGTCTGACGTTCACTACGATCGGGACGCCGAAACAGGAGGCGATCACTCGTGCGGTGACGTCACACGTGCCCGACGCCAACCTCAAGGAGGCCACCATCAACTCCATATCGTACAACCTGCCCGCCGCCAGCTCGGACAAGTTCCCGCAGCTGTTCACGGGACTGGAGAACCAACGGTCCGAATTGGGTATTGACTCTATCGGGGTGGGCGCGTCTACGCTTGAAGAGGTCTTCTTAAGGTTGGTAACACAGTTTACTCTTACACAGTTTTGGTATCTATTCTTAATAAAATATTTTAAAATTTCAACTCAGTATAGGTAGTATAGTCACTGGATTTTAAAATACACCTATAATATATTGTTACACTAGCTTTCGCCAGCGGCTTCGCCCGCGTGGACCCTAGAGAAATGTTTAGTGGTATAAAAAATATCCTATTATCTAAGTCAGCTAACACCTTATCTGTATACCAAATTTCATCATAATCCATTCAGTAGTTTCGGCGTGATTGACCGACAAACATCCAAACAAAGAAACTTTCACATTTATCATATTAATAGGATATAAATTCAAATAAATGAAACTTAACAAGTGGTAGAGGAAAAAATGTTGGACGATTCAACAGTACTTGAAGTCTATTTGAATAAAGATTATTTTGACTCTATTCTAGCATGGTCTTTGGTCACTATTATAATACGTTGATTGTCTTTGAGATATTAACCGGTCACATCTAATCTAATATGTGTAAATAAGGATGACAACTATTTGTTTTTTAATTTGTCCGTCAGATAGATTATTGAAGAGTTTTAAACGCGTATTTTTTTTTTTTCGTAATCAATAAATTACAACGATATCGTCGATGCGATGGCTTGAAATGTCGCATGACGTCACACTTTAGTACATTTTCTACAAAACTGTGACGTAGCGAGCCATCAGTCAACTTTAAATCATATTATCTAAGCCACTTCTTGTTAAAATTGAAGCAAAAAAAAAATACGTTTCTAATATTTTTCTATTATCTGACTGACTGACTCAGTATTTTTTTTACCTAGTCGTCAACCCTATTTTAATGGAACCGTTTACTTAACTTGTACAGGGTTATATGTAAAAAAAAACACCAATCTCGCAATACTCTATAAACGATACCGTTAGATCTACAAGTTTTAAGGTAACTCAATACTTTTAATAATAAGTTTTATGGCACTAAAATATCTACATAATGCATTATAAAAGCTCAAATACATTGTATAATAAAAAGTGATATAAATTAAAAGTTATTTTTGTATTAAAGTAAAATGTAACGAATTTTCAGTCATAGAACAATTATGATATTTATGATGCTATTTGTTCTGTGCGATTGTTGGCGTTTTATAAATTAACCCTGTATACAATATTTGTTTTGAAATAAAATATAACATATTTAAATGTAATTCCCTCGCAGATTATGCAGTGATGTCGACACGACATTAACCCAGGACGATGTTGACGGTGTCGGCAGTGAATCTGGTGAGTTTAGTTTTTCATTCATCATCATCAGCCCTTTTACGTCCCCACTGCAGGGGCTCAGGCCTTCCTTATGGATGGTTAAGGAGGATGGGCCATGACCCTCCACGCTGGCCCAATGCGGATTGGAGGGTGTTAACGACTGCAAATGCAGCCGGGACCAACGGCTTAACGTGCCTTTCGAAGCACGGAGTAGCTCGAGATAATAATTTTTTGGTCACCCATCCCGTGACCGACCCTTGTGAAAGTTGCTTTACGACTACGATAATTATGCACTATTTTCTAATATCTATTACCAACACGAATGCGTCAAAGACGTAGACTATGTAGTGGAGTTATAAAGCTACTCGATCGAGTGAAAACCGAAACTTGCGTCTGTCTGTCCGTCCGTCTGTAACTAGCGGGCTAATGTTATCCTCTCGATAATTATCAAAATGTGACACATTCAGAATTACACTATCGTCTAACGGGCACGCACGATATCAACCATTTCTTACAATCACGATGTACTCTTACAATAACGACCCTATCTTTTATAATGACCTTAAATATTTTTATATGTGGACCAATTTTATTTTTTTTGTTATTCAGAAAGGACTGTTAAGCGCGTGACCGGCTTCCTTCTGTATCTCCGTCAGTTCAAAGTGCTATTCAAGAGGCAACTGAATTATGTGATCTACAAGAAAATGTGGTTCCTCATACTGGTGAGATATCACAGATTTATCATTTACATAAATAAATTATGATTGTCTATACTAAATACTATAAAGAGGAAAAATTAGATTGTTTGTTAGTTTGCATAGAACAGGCTATGAAACCACTGGACTGATTTTTAAAATTCTTTCATCTACTGGTAGCTATACCACACCTGCCTGACAAGGCTATAATTTACGCGTGCGAAGTCACGGGAAAACAGCTAGTATTCAATAAGCAGAAAAAATCGTTTTAAAATATTTATCTTGACAAAATATTCTATTCCATCGTAAATATTTAGCACACATAACACATTAATAAAATCGTATAGAAAAAACATTAATACATAATCAAATATTGCTGCATAACGGCTCATTTACATTAGCCGGCTATTGGTTTTTAGTCCAGTGAAAAGAGCCCACGGGAATCGTCTTTTGGCCAATAAAATGAGGTATTACAGTGTTCCTGTTTACAATATTGCAGCAAGTGATACTCCCGCTTCTGATGATAGTGGCGTTTACATTGAGCTCTAATTCCGAAAAAGAATTATTGATGGACAAACTGTTACCTTTGAACCTGGACGTGTACCGGAACACTGGCGATCGGCGAGTACTGTACAGTATACACGACGCCCCGCTCAGACCACTCACCGACAGATACCCGGACGTACTGTTCCAGAATACAAGCGATGTGGCAGAAGGTATTTATATAATATAACGTATGTTTGTCACGGGGTACAGTATGATAAATATACCTTGGGGGGCCGTCCATTAATCACGTGATAGTTTTTTCAACATTTTTTTAACCCCCCCCCCCCCTCCCCTTGGTGATACATGGTGAGGTTTAAGACTACCCCCTCTCTCCTTCAAACAAAACACGTGTATTAAAAAAAAAACAAAAAATCCTAATTTTTTGACGTCACTTTTCGGTTACCTAATTTTTTGACGTCATTTTTTGACGTCACTTTTTAATAAATACACGTGATATATTACTACACCCCCCTTGTGATATGTCGTGATTTTTAACGAATCCCTCCCCCCCTTTCGAGCCTCTCGTGATTAATGGACGGCTCCTTGATAATTATAATATACTACACAAACTTTTTAATACTTTACATGTAGTATGCAAATATTAACACGCTGTATACGTGATCAACAATTACCTGTCTTGTCAGCAATATATGTCACGTATTTTTAATATCCCCCCATAAGTTTTAAATAGTATATATGATGAATATTGGCTTAGGTGAATAGAGATCTACAACTTGGAAATTAGTATCATTTCTCCCTACCGCGCTGACGCTATTTCATAGGACATGTTATTAAAGGGGAATCATCTTTAAACAGCTATCAAATATGTTGTTTTTTTTTATAAAGAAAATTGCCTAACAGCCAGTTGCACAAACGACCATTAAAATTTTCATTACTTTAAAGTAACATTACCCATACAAATTTGACATCCATTAGGTTTTAAAGGCGTCATTAAACCTTAATGGACGTTTGTGCAATTGACCGTAAGAAGGATCTACAAAAACAAAAAATAAATATTAGAAATATAATCCCAGCAAATTACTAATGCGCCTGGCCGCCATTTTAATGACGTAATGTGTTCAAAAATCAGTACCGTTTACAAATAAACACTGGTTGACGGGTACAATTATTGAGTTTGTTTGTGTTGAGATCACATATCATTTGTTATGTTTTTGTTGATTTCGATTGTTATTGTTAAGTTTTGTGTGTCTTCATAAATGGTCAGGGGAAAAGTCTGCGATTTTTTTTTGACATTAAGTGTGGATATCCAGTCTCAATGAGTAAAGTTTTTATTTAACTCATATTTGAGATATTCGAAAAAATACACGCTGAATCGATAAATCTGTTTTGGACAAAAATTTAATCATTATATTATGTATATTTATTTGTTCATAGCTGTTGTACGCTTCGGTCGACAAGATGTACTCGATTACCACAAATATTTGATCGGCATCGAACTGAACGACACTGATGCAAAGGTAATGAACATTTTAATAATTAATTTGTCTTATATTTTTTTTTTAATCTTTGTTATTAAAATTGAGCGTCAATAATCCGAACTATGTCTTATTCATAGATTTATAGGTCTATCCGGCTACCAAATTAGTATTCGGTGGACACCAAATATCCAGCGACGGATTCTGGAGTTAAAATAATTTAGTTTATAATTAATACTACTTTATAATTAAGAGATATTTGTTGATAATTCAAAGACTGTTTTATCTTAAATTTTTTACTACTCGCCAATCCACTAATATATTTATGAGACATAATTTGTCGTCTGTAACATTAGTATGAATGTGACTGGACAGGTGTTATACACGACTACGGTCCGTCACGCGGCTCCCATTGGCCTCAACCTGTTGTCGAACCTGGTGGCCGCTCGCCTACTGCCCTGGGCCACTCCCACCACCATAGTCACCAACAACCACCCCATACACGACGAGAACCCATTCCGCGACCCGCGCATCGTCGAACCGAAGAATCTCACCGCCGCTGTCCTCTGGGCGGTCACGGTCGTTTTCAGTGAGTACTATATTGTAGGGTTTCATACAATAACACAAATTTAAAATCATTTAAAAGCATAATTAATTAATTGTTTATTCAGATTATGTATCATTAAACTTTTCTAATTACGTCACATATAATCGTTCTCGTCTTAAATAAACTAAGACCTTTGTTGCGGATATTCCTGATCTTGAACAGCTTCAACTTAGCTAGCCGATGTTGGACTGTAGAATAAAACTCCTTTGATAATTTTCACTTCTTCTTTATTCAATCTTGAGGGCCGGGGAGCTCACAAAAACTGCTCAAATCGACCCGTCTTACATTCGCTGGGGTGGCTCGCACTGAGCTCCGTATATAACCAGTTTGTTACCTTATTACATATTGTACCCCTATTTGGCGAAGCCACCCCCCCACTCTTAACATCTACGTATTATATTATAGTTACCAATACAATTTACTGCTTTACTTATTTACATTACATACTAGGTAAAAAAAATTCATACAACACTCGCATCGTGTCGGACAAGACGGTGCCTTCGAAGTTCATAATCGTTCTAAGGCGCGCCGCGCTCTTGCCCGACGTATTTATGTGGTCAGAGCGAGACGGAAGATCCCGCGTAAACTAGCGCCGTCTCGCTCTGATACCTTAAGCCTCCTTAGCGAGGCAATACCTTAAGCTTATGCTATAACTTAAATTACCTTATCAATATAGCAATAAATACACCCAGAGATTGTATCGTTTAATATTACATACATTTGACTAAACCTACTTATATTTATATATATTATTTATTTAAGATCATCTAATATTTAAAAACCAACGAGACGTGCGTCTGTCACAATCTTGTTTAAAAGCAATACGCCCGCTGCTCCTGGGCGCAGTATTACGGCACTCGGTATCCTAGGCTCGTATCGAATACGATAGGAATAGACAAGAATGTAACGCAAGGTACCTGTGCAACAGTAATCCTGGCGAGCAATCTGAACGGCGTGTCGCTGCCGTGCAAGGAGCGCGCGAGCGGCGCCCGGCACCTGCACGTGATGTGCGGCGCGCCCGCCGCCCTCGTGTGGGCCGCCGCGCTGCTGCACCACGCCGCCCTCGCCCTGGCCACCGCCCTCGCGCCCGCCGCCGCACTGGCCGCGCTGCTGGACAGGGACCGCACCTTCACGGAGCCCGCCTTCATATGTACGTACTGTACTGTACTATACTATACCGCCGCGCTGCTGCACCACGCCGCCCTCGCCCTGGCCACCGCCCTCGCGCCCGCCGCCGCACTGGCCGCGCTGCTGGACAGGGACCGCACCTTCACGGAGCCCGCCTTCATATGTACGTACTGCACTGTACTGTACCGTACTGTACTGTACTATACTATACTATACCGCCGCGCTGCTGCACCACGCCGCCCTCGCCCTGGCCACCGCCCTCGCGCCCGCCGCCGCACTGGCCGCGCTGCTGGACAGGGACCGCACCTTCACGGAGCCCGCCTTCATATGTACGTACTGTACTGTACTATACTATACCGCCGCGCTGCTGCACCACGCCGCCCTCGCCCTGGCCACCGCCCTCGCGCCCGCCGCCGCACTGGCCGCGCTGCTGGACAGGGACCGCACCTTCACGGAGCCCGCCTTCATATGTACGTACTGCACTGTACTGTACCGTACTGTACTGTACTATACTATACTATACCGCCGCGCTGCTGCACCACGCCGCCCTCGCCCTGGCCACCGCCCTCGCGCCCGCCGCCGCACTGGCCGCGCTGCTGGACAGGGACCGCACCTTCACGGAGCCCGCCTTCATATGTACGTACTGTACTGTACTATACTATACCGCCGCGCTGCTGCACCACGCCGCCCTCGCCCTGGCCACCGCCCTCGCGCCCGCCGCCGCACTGGCCGCGCTGCTGGACAGGGACCGCACCTTCACGGAGCCCGCCTTCATATGTACGTACTGCACTGTACTGTACCGTACTGTACTGTACTATACTATACTATACCGCCGCGCTGCTGCACCACGCCGCCCTCGCCCTGGCCACCGCCCTCGCGCCCGCCGCCGCACTGGCCGCGCTGCTGGACAGGGACCGCACCTTCACGGAGCCCGCCTTCATATGTACGTACTGTACTGTACTATACTATACCGCCGCGCTGCTGCACCACGCCGCCCTCGCCCTGGCCACCGCCCTCGCGCCCGCCGCCGCACTGGCCGCGCTGCTGGACAGGGACCGCACCTTCACGGAGCCCGCCTTCATATGTACGTACTGTACTGTACTGTACCGCTACTGTACTATACTATACTATACCGCCGCGCTGCTGCACCACGCCGCCCTCGCCCTGGCCACCGCCCTCGCGCCCGCCGCCGCACTGGCCGCGCTGCTGGACAGGGACCGCACCTTCACGGAGCCCGCCTTCATATGTACGTACTGTACTGTACTATACTATACCGCCGCGCTGCTGCACCACGCCGCCCTCGCCCTGGCCACCGCCCTCGCGCCCGCCGCCGCACTGGCCGCGCTGCTGGACAGGGACCGCACCTTCACGGAGCCCGCCTTCATATGTACGTACTGTACTGTACTGTACCGTACTGTACTATACTATACTATACCGCCGCGCTGCTGCACCACGCCGCCCTCGCCCTGGCCACCGCCCTCGCGCCCGCCGCCGCACTGGCCGCGCTGCTGGACAGGGACCGCACCTTCACGGAGCCCGCCTTCATATGTACGTACTGTACTGTACTATACTATACCGCCGCGCTGCTGCACCACGCCGCCCTCGCCCTGGCCACCGCCCTCGCGCCCGCCGCCGCACTGGCCGCGCTGCTGGACAGGGACCGCACCTTCACGGAGCCCGCCTTCATATGTACGTACTGTACTGTACTGTACCGTACTGTACTATACTATACTATACCGCCGCGCTGCTGCACCACGCCGCCCTCGCCCTGGCCACCGCCCTCGCGCCCGCCGCCGCACTGGCCGCGCTGCTGGACAGGGACCGCACCTTCACGGAGCCCGCCTTCATATGTACGTACTGTACTGTACTGTACCGTACTGTACTATACTATACCGCCGCGCTGCTGCACCACGCCGCCCTCGCCCTGGCCACCGCCCTCGCGCCCGCCGCCGCACTGGCCGCGCTGCTGGACAGGGACCGCACCTTCACGGAGCCCGCCTTCATATGTACGTACTG